ACATCAATGAAAACCTTATTATTAACACAGATGAATTGGGCAGGGATTGCCTAATTAATGCTGCTAAAACATCAATGTCTTCTAAAATTATAGGAATGTATCCTTTAACTTGATCAAGTTAGTTAAATGAGCGTGATTGACTCTAGAGAGCTGGAGTACAGACTGAGCATAAGGTAGGTATCTTTGTTAAGGAACAAAAGATGATTAAAATGCCAGTATCACACTAGCCTGTCCTAATTTTCTTACCAGTGTTTCAGCTTTAAGAATTACTTTTTCCCTTAAGGCAGTGGTAAATGAGAGCCAGTGCTTCAGTGCCTTTCTGGAGATGTTTTTTGGAAATAGTTTTTGATGTTTAGTCTGAGCACTGTCAGTGACTATTACGGACCATACTAGTTCCCTTCTGCAGTTAGACCCTTAACAACGTAGTAGTGATGGTGATTTCTTTGCTAACATGGTGGTGGATGCTGCACTGGCAGTCAAGTACACCGACCAGAAGGGTCAGGCTCGGTACCCCATCAACTCGGTGAACGTGCTGAAGGCGCACGGCCGCAGCCAGAAGGAGAGCATCCTCGTCAACGGTTACGCTCTGAACTGCGTGGTGGGATCACAGGGTAAGAACGAGAGCGTCCTGTGTTCCATAAAGCTTCTGTGTGAACTGCCTCCTCTCAGCCTTTCTGCTGCATCTTGCTGCTCATGGCATTCGTGGCAAATCCCACGGTTTTCCGATTCCGGAACAGTTAAACAAGAACACATAACTTACTGCTTCACCAGAGGTTTCTAGCCCAGAGTTTGCCAGCTAGGAGTGTTCTGCAAAGTGCTGGTAAGTTTCTGCAGTTTCCCTTGTTGGGTGGTGACATGGTGACCTCCTGGAACAGAAGCAGTGCCTCCCTTGGGGGCAGCCAGTGTCAGGTTTGTGGGGAACTGTTATATGTAGCAGAGCTGTGTGGGGATTAGGTGACCTAAAGGATGGGAGACTGATGGGTTAGCTTGTCATGGTCATTCACATTTTGGGGGTGGGGTCTGTAAAAAATGTAACAGATTACAGCAGAGATTTTTAAAAAAAATTAAATCCTTTTTGAAAGCCTGTATTAGCGTTTTTCTGTACTCGGGCAGAACTGGAGGTGGAGAAGCAAACTGATTAGGAATCTGAAAAGTGAAAGTAATATTAACCTCTAATGCTAGCTTGATGTTCTGTTGACAGTCTCTTTCTTGTTTTCTCTTGTCAGGTATGACCAAGAGAATAGTTAATGCAAAGATTGCATGCCTTGACTTCAGCCTGCAGAAAGCAAAAATGAAGCTTGGTGTTCAGATTGTTATCTCAGACCCTGAGAAGCTGGACCAGATAAGGCAGAGGTGTGTGGAAGCTTGAGTAACAGAGACAGTGGGGTTGCACAGGCTTGTTTTGGTCTCTTCAATTGAGGTGGCTGAATGAAATTTTGGCTGAGTGCAAGAGGTAAAAATGTTTTAAATGTTAACATTTCCCAACAATACCAAATAGTAATGGTGAAAATCTTCATGTCTGTAGGCATGAACTGGTATTAAATCAGTTTTTGAGAAATCCAAGTATGTGCAACAGTGCCTTCTTCTCAAAGAGCTCTGGATTAAGATTTCAGGGAATGGGTTGACAGAACATGATTATAGATATTTAAAAATGTTTTTTATGACTTTGACTTTATCCTTGCAGAGAGTCAGATATTACCAAAGAGAGGATCCAGAAGATTTTGGCCACTGGTGCCAATGTTATTCTCACCACTGGTGGTATTGATGACATGTGTCTGAAATATTTTGTTGATGCTGGTGCTATGGCAGTACGAAGAGTGGTGAAAAAGGACCTGAAGCGGATTGCTAAGGCGTCTGGGGGTATGTAGATATAAAAACAGATCTCTTATGTGGGTGGTGTTTTTTTTGTGGGGGTAGTTGTTTGAGTCTTTAGTAAAAGCTGTTGTTAGGTTATTAGTAACTAATATTCAAAATACAGCTTCTGAACGTGCGAGGAGAGGATGAGTAGAGCTGAGCCACTCTTCTTAGGTTTTAAATCTACTGTTGCTTTTAAGTGACATCTGTCAAGGTAGAAGAGTTGACTGCTGAAGTTTTACAGTAGGGGGAAAAAAATGCTGCCTCACCCTGGAAAGACAGTCCTCTTGTGGAAATGAGAGGCAGAATTAGAAGTCTTTATTAAGCATACATTGAAAAGCCTGTCTCTGGAGGGTTAAGAACGTTGTTTAGATAGTTCAAGATAAATGAAGAACTCCTAAATCATTTAATACATACTGAAAAGAATGGCACTATACAGATTTTTATCTGTCAGTTTGAATTTGCAAGAAAGCGTTTTCACTATGGTAAAGCACAGGAGCTTGTACAAGCTGTGGAAAAGTGCTGCAAAAATTGGGCAGAAAGGAGTGTTATCAATTACAAACTGCAACATAATCAATTGCCAGATAGGAATTAGAAGTGCTGTTGCACTGAAGTCTACTTAGACTGCTTTTATATTTTCAATTTGTTTTTCTTTCTGTATGCCTGTTCTGGGGAAGCTGGCCAAGGAAGTGCTGGAATTGAATGCTGAATATCACTTTGTTTGTTACAGCAACCATATGTTCAACCCTTGCAAACCTTGAAGGTGAGGAGAGTTTTGAGGCATTAATGCTGGGACAGGCAGAAGAGGTGATTCAAGAGAGAATCTGCGACGATGAGCTGATTTTAATCAAGAAGTAAGGATCCTTTTTAAAATACTCTGTTTTGTGTATGCTTTCTACTAAGTTTGAGATCAAATCCCATTTAATTCTATGCTATCAGTGCTAAATAGATTAGCTATCAGTTTGCTAAATAGATTTAAAATCTTGTTTGTAAACAAATTTTGCTACACAGGCTTCCATTTAGCCAGTAAATGGAAATAGGTGCCATCTGAGCGAGGAGGTGCAAGCTCAGTCTTAGTGGAAGACAGGGTTTACTTGTGCTGGGTTAATTGAATCAGTAATCTGGTAGTGTGAAAAGGACTGCATTGGGGGCTCTTTTTGTTGGATTTGAGTGGGGTTCTTTAGGTGAGTTTTTTCTTAACAGGTAAGAAGAGCAACTATTCCTACTGTCCACACTTGTAGCATTTTTACCTTGAAGGTTTTTTTAGGATGCCACTGGTATCTGGTACCCGAAGACTTGAGTATGGGTTTAACAAGAACATACCTTGGATCTTAACCTCTCCACTGCTTCCATGTCCCTTCTCAGTGTTCACCTTCCTGTAGTCTCACCTGTGTGTGAATTAAATACTCTGGCTGTGGGATTTGTGTGGCAGTTACTAACTGCTTCTGCTGTGATGTTGGCAGTCATTAGCTCCCTTGATGGCTATGCAAAAGAGGGCTTACCTTAATATCTAGTTCCATTTCTCCTGCTATTTGATGAGAAAACATCTGTTAAACTTACCAGGTAGCTTTCTCTAAAATGAGTCTAGAATTCAAACTAGGTTCTTGCACACTAGAAATTAAAATACTGATACAGTAAGTTACAGTGTACATATCCTGCAAGGGAGCATAACGTTAAATTGTCTTCTAAATGTTGAAAGAACATGGCTGAAGTGATATTGGCTTTAGAAGAATTGTAGCCAGCAGAGTTCTCGTTCACACTCTGTTCCACACAGCTGACTTGCAGTGTTGTTTTTTCCCCCCAGTACAAAGGCTCGTACCTCAGCCTCAATTATCTTAAGGGGAGCTAATGACTTCATGTGCGACGAGATGGAACGATCCATACACGAGTTGTTAAAAGGGTGCTGGAATCCAAGTCTGTTGTCCCAGGTGGTGGTGCTGTAGAGGCAGCACTTTCAATATATCTTGAAAATTATGCAACCAGCATGGTAAGTCTTGCATGAAGTACTGAGCGTGCACGTGTTCCACTAGGACAATGTGAATTGTCAAGCACTTACTTTTTTGCACTAGAAGTTGGTTCCATGGTTCATGAAACCCTCATAATCTTGCAGAATGTAAGATGCTTCTTTAAAACGGAGAGTATTCTCTAGTTTTGTTTCTATTTTTAAATTATTAGAGAAAAAGTAATTAGAGTATATGGTTCTTTGACCTAAAAATAGGTTTTTGGGTGTCAGACCCCTACCTACTATTGACACTCTTGATTGTGGCTGTATTTTTTCCTCTGGTGTTGCAGCAGTTGGTTTAAAGACTTTCCTCTTTCTAGGGATCACGTGAACAACTTGCAATAGCAGAATTTGCAAGATCCCTCTTAATAATTCCAAATACACTGGCAGTAAACGCCGCCCAGGACGCGACAGATCTTGTCGCGAAGCTGCGGGCGTTCCACAACGAGGCACAGGTCAACCCCGATCGCAAGAATCTGAAATGGCAAGTACCTCTCTGTAGCAGGGCTGTTCCTGAAAGTGAAGTGGGTTGGTGACTTCAGTGCAAAACTGTTCTGCCAGTTTACTGAAACATGATTGGCATGGAAAAAGTGTGTAGCTTATCACTGGACTTCCTCCCTCTGTCCTCCAGCCCCACGTATGTGTCACGGGGACCTAGAGTAGTTAAACAGCGTAAACTGTATCTCTGCCTCTCCATCTGACAGTATTTCTTCTTTGCAGGATTGGCCTTGACTTGATTAATGGAAAACCTCGGGATAACAAGCAAGCTGGTGTCTTTGAACCAACCATGGTCAAAACCAAGAGCCTGAAGTTTGCAACAGAAGCTGCAATTACTATTCTTCGAATTGATGATCTTATTAAGCTGCACCCTGAAACTAAAGAGGAGAGGGGGTGCTATGAGGATGCTGTTCACTCTGGAGCACTTGAAGAATAACTTAGGGTTTATTTATGTTTCTCCAAGATACACTTCTCACTCTTGTAACTAAAATGTTAATAAAACAAGTGGTTCAATTCTGCCCCTATTTTCTTGTCAAGTCAATTTTTGAACGTGAGAATTTGAGAATTTAATCTCTAGCCTATGTTGATGCCTGTAGTGCCTGCAAGTAGCCGCTCATCAATGACTAAGTGGCAAAAAGTAATGGAATAAGCTTATTAAATTTTAGGCAGTACAAATGTAAGCTTCATGATTAGAAGTTTATTAGTAAAATGTTTTCAAAGCTAGTTGTCCCAAATTCATTTGTGTTATCTCTCAACACACATGGCAATTCCCATTCCTCCTCCTATGCAGAGAGCAGCCACCCCACGTTTTCCACCTGTTCGCTCCAGTGCATGCAGCAGAGTCACAAGGATGCGACAACCCGAGGCGCCCAGAGGGTGGCCGAGAGCAATAGCTCCACCTTGGATATTAATCTAAGAAAACAAAAAAAAAAAACACAGAAGGTCAAGTTAAGAAATACTTAACTAGCCTAGTCCCATTTCATCATGAATCACTTCACTGGATGTAGTCTTTGGTTGTACACCTGAAATGGCTGCTGCCCTTTCAAGGAGAAAATGAACATGGATAATTGGTATTTCTTCTGAAATGGGCCCATCTGTGCTCTGTGAAGATAATTAAGGTGATAACGGGTGAACTTAGGTAGGGGGAAGTAACACTGGTGCTTTCTGCCTTCACTGGAACAATCTAATGTGGCAAAGATGCTTCCAGCACTGAATTCCACCTCTAAAGTTACCTGCTAGGAGATGTGTGCCTGCTAAGGAGCTCCCACCCTGGCTGCCCACAGCAGAGCGATCCCAAGGGGACTGCTCTCGTGTCTGGAATACAATACAGATGCCCAAAATGGAACAACTTTGAATTACAGGAGGCAAACTACAGCCTCAAATATATCCATTACCTTGTCTGGATTTACTTTCAGTTCTTTTGCTATTGCAACAGATAATGATGCAAAGGCTTCATTAATTTCAAACAGGTCAACTTGTTCCAGAGTCCAGCTGGCTTTGTCAATCTGAGAAAGCAAAATAAATACAGAGGCTTTATGAGTTTTTAGGTCTTCCCTCTGCACCAGAGGAAGCTTTTCCTAACACTTAAAAGTGGTGATTTGAAGCCACTGCTTCTAAAAAGATGAAGGACACTGTTTTAGAGCCAGGGTTGATGACACAATTCTTGAAGTAACAGATAAAATTCCAGGGTCAGCAGAAGTTGGTATAATGTGCTATAACCTTGGCTGCTCTTAAAAAATCCTGACTAATTTTACACGTCTAGAGGTGGTGGTGCAATTGTGGGAATCAGTGGTGCCTGTAGCAGAACAAGCACTGTTTTCAAAAGTAGCTTTTAACAGATTAAAAGCAAGTCTTTTCAGGACAGAAATCTGATTCTGTTAGCGATCCTCTGCTTAATAGAAACCTTTACACAGAAAATAGCGAAGGGACCATTACTGATGGTTGTGAAATGTAATTTGTCTGGTCTCCCCGACTTCAAGGTGAAAATTGTAACTTTAAGCTTTCTGCAGACAGCTATTTTGAAAGACGTTTTGGCTCGTGTTTTCATTTGAGAAACTCTTGTGGTGCAATGGCCTACTTGGGTACAGGCTTAGGCATGTTTTACACACTCGGATTTTTACTTTGACTCTGTTTGCTTCTAACAGCAATGCTTTAACAACAGAGTCCTCTGCAGCAATGATGTTTCACAACCTGACAGGCAGACTGGTGCACCTCCAAGAATGCAGTCAAGGAGGAGAGCCTCTTTCTACTAGGTGTTTCAGAGACAGTGTGGAAACTGTTCACCTTCTGGGAAAAGTCAGTACGATGTACTCTGTTGTAACACTAGAATGCACAGCCTAGTCATTCTCTCAAGTGCCCCTATAAAATTCTCAAGAGACCAACTGATAATATATGGAGAGTGTGAAGTGTTTGATAACGTGTTACAAAGTTTATGTTAAGTAGTGTGCCCCCTTTCAGAGTAGTATAAAAATTATCAGTACTGTTAAATACAGCTTCTCTGTTCTACAATTTAAACTAAAACTGTGTATTGTGTACACATCCATAGCACTCTTGATTTAAAAAGAACAGTCTGAGATCTGACATGAAGAAGCTTCAGCATTACAGTTCAAATTTTCCTGTTAAAAGCCATAGAATTTGGGTAAGTTCAAAGTTAAGCCTCCACATGGGCAGGACATTTCCGAGACAAACAAAATAAGGCCTTTACACAGCATAAATAAAACTAAGAAGGAATACTACAGCACATCTACTGTTACCAGCTGTACACGAGCTGTTTTCATGCTCAGTTTCATAGCCCAGGTTTAACAAATAATTGCCTGGGGTTGTTATGGGCTACGTCAACATCAGCAAGCAGAGTGGCAGGGCAGGGGCTGCTCACCCCAGGCAAAGGAGAACCTTGTCCTGTGGACTGAACACAGAGTGCATCAGTGTGTGCAATACAGCCTGAGCACATCTGTGTGCTTCTGTGCACCTTCTTGTTTAGTTTCACCTGAACAGAATCCAATTGGCATGCTCCAACTCTTTTGCAGGGCAAACTAAACCACCAAGGGCAGTGTGGTGCTCGTGAGCCCTTCTCTCCTTGCTGTGGTATTCCTGGGACAGCCAGGTAGGAATCTGACAATTAACCAGGCCTGGCACAGCACCAGAACTGTTTCATGGCAGGACCATATCATCCCCAAATTAAGTTAGTATACTCATCTGTGAAAGATGATCTTTAGTCTCCTAGGTTATCTAGACAGTCTTTCACAAACTCAGTAGTTTATGCTCTGAACTCCATTCATACATCTTTTTTTTTTTTCCCAACGAGTAGACTAGACTAGCAGCACTAGAAATCTTAATGCCACATATTCTCTGCTGTTTCAAGTTTTATTTTCTTTTAGCTTATTTTTTTCTAGAATATAGGAAAACCAAGACATGGCCAGAAAATGAAAAACTATTACAAGCAAGAGTTTTAAAATAACATACACAGATACTTACAGCTTTCTTTATTGCCGAAATGGGCCCTACTCCCATTATAGACGGATCTATACCGGTCTGTGCCCAAGATACAATCCGAGCCAAAGGCATAAGCCCTCTCCTAGCAGCTTCTGATTTCTTCATTAGAATTACAGCTGCAGCTCCATCATTTATACCTGTGGGATGACAAACAATTTGTATGCATTTATTGGGTTGTATGGCCTTTACTGTACCACCTTTTCTTCCTTGCATAAGTTCACAATCTAGAGGAAACAAAAAGAAAGCAAATCTTTTATTGGTTTAGGTTGCTATTGTTCAGATCAGCCAAGTCTGACCTGGGACACAAACACTTAGAATGGGTGACATATCTGCACTGCTGTAAAAGGGACATGCTTGTGACTTCTATTTGGGAAGGCACAGGTGTCAGAATTCAGGCACAATCTGAAAAAGGAGCACACATCAGACTTTTTAGGTAGACTTTGGAAGCGGCAGCATAAGGACCCAAGGCAGGAGAGTTAATTCCACCTGAGTAACATGTTCAAACATGAATTGTTAAGTTTTCCTTTGTCGAGGCCTGCAGTCTTAGAAACCACAAGACAGTTTTAAAAAGAGAGGACATAGTTTCTATTTGTCCCAGACTATCAAACATTGCTGTTATTGTCCAAACACTTGTATGGCTTCACAGACAGCAAGCAAACAAAAGACAACTCAGCTGTGAAGAAATCCTCCACCACAGTGATATTTTTCAGTTCTACCTATGCTGTCAAACACCCTACCATCTCCTGCAGAATATATTCAGCAGTAACCACATGGCAGCCTAACCCCTCACAGAGACCCTGCCTCGAGCCACAAGCCACCACTGTTCTTCTCCATTTTGGTTTCAGCCGGACAGACCCACCTGAAGCATTAGCAGCTGTTACTGTCCCAGTTCCATCTGTCAGGAAACAGGGCTTTAACTTCGCCATCGCCTCCAAGTTGCTCCCATGTCGAGGGTGTTCATCTGTTTTAACTTCTATAGGACCTGCAAAACAGTGTTTGTCCTCCTCACAGGAGGGTCTAACCGCTCCCACCTCGGGCAGAAGGCCAGCACAAACCGCAGGCTGACCGGGCACACACGCCGTAGCCCCTCTGACCAACAGGCTGTGTTCATGTCAGAGATATACATCTTGTACAGGAGCAGATCTTGTTCTTGCTGTTCCTAAGCCAACAGCCTTCTGCCTGGAGGAGAAGCTGCCTTCCAAACAATACTTGTAGGTATCTCGTTCCAAGTGTCATTATTATCTAAACCGATATCAGAAAAACTCTTCATTAGTTTGTAACCAGCCCAGTGCAACTTTTCCCAGAGGGTCCATTCGATGCAAATGTTGAACAACTGATTTGTGATTTCTGTTCAGAAAAGTCAGTTTTTACCCCCATCTCACAAGGAGCTGGAGGAATTGCCCTGCTCTACAAACAGACCTCTGGCTCAAGCAACATAACAGATTCGTTTATATCCCTAACAGGAATACACCCTTAAAGAGAAGCACACCTAATATATGTAACCTGACCTAGTTAATTAACTAGTAACCCTAATTATTGTCACTGTGTATTTTAGTAGGTGGGCAAGACTTGCCTGTCAACATGACTGGTTTAAGTTTGATGCAGCAGGAGTCTAACGAAACAAAAATTACTTATTTTTGTACCATATCCAAGCCTCTGTCATGTCAGTGGTTTGCCTGGATAGTTACAATCCCAAATAAAATCCTGGTAATTACATTCCAAATAAAATATAGTAGTAATATTTGCAGAGAGGTGCATTTAGATATTCTGCATGTGCATTGCTTCTCTTATTCAAAAAATAACCACTGAGAAGTTGAAAAAGAGAGCAACAGGCTCTAAGTGGGAAATCACTCGATTGTGAGAGACAGAGTAGAAACCAGATTTTTTTCTTTAAAATTGACACACATTACCCATTCACACCTACCTTTTTTAGAAGGTACAAGAACAGGTACAATTTCTTTTGTAAAATAGCCAGCTTTCTGTGCTGCTTCTGCCCTGTTTTGTGACTGTACAGCAAGTTGGTCTTGCTCCGCTCTGCTGACTTGCCACTGATTGGCTACGTTTTCAGCTGCAAGAGGAAAAATGCAAACTGCCATCAGGAAATGCTAAAATATTAAGTTGTAAAATGGTTAGCACAAAGGTTGTCATTAATGTTTGCTGTAGCAAGCAGCTAAGCCTGTTGAACAGTTTTCATTTCGATTTCCTCGTTTTGTTTGCACATGATTCTTTACTATATTTTCTTTTGAGGGTGAAAATATCTGTGAGGGATCTCCTCCCAGATCTTATATCAAGTTAAACACAAATGCAAACAAGCTTTTCTGATTATTGCTTCTCTGGATTATTATGCTTAGATCTCTCTACAACTACATCAGAGGAGGGCATGTTCTGAAGTTACTCTGTTTCTGTGGTGTTCCCTGGTGCTCAGTATTGGGGTCACTTCTGTTTAACACCTTTATCAATGACCTTGATGGGGAGATAGAATGCACCCTCAGTAAGTTTGAAGACAACACCAAGTCAGGTGGAAGGATTGATCAGCTTGAGGGTAGGAAGGCTCTACAGAGGGACCTGGACAGGCTGGATCAATGGGCTGAGACCAATTCTTTGAGCTTCAAACAAGGTCAAGTGTCATGCCCTGCACTTGGGCCACAACAACCCCATGAAATGCTACAGGCTTGGGGAGAAGTGGCTGGAAAGCTGCCCAGCAGAAAGGGACCTGGGGGTACTAACTGACAACCCGCTAAAGATGAGCCAGCAGTGTGCCCAGGTGTCCAAGAAGGGCCAACAGCATCCTGGCTTGTATCAGAGAGATTGAGGCCAGCAGGAGTAGGGAAGTGATTGTGCCCCTGTACTCGGCACTGGTGAGGCCACAGCTTGAGAACTGGGTTCAGTTTTGAGCACCTCACTACAAGGACATTGAGGTTCTGGAGTGGGTCCAAAGAAGGGCAACAAAGCTGGTGGAGGATCTAGAGCACAAGTCTTACAAGGAGCAGCTGAGGGAACTGGGGTTGTTTAGCCTGGAGAAAAGGAGGCTCGGGGGAGACCTGATCACTCTCTACAACAACCTGAAAGGAGGTTGTGGAGAAGCGGGTGCAGGTCTTTTCTCACAAGTAACAAGTGATAGGACAAGAGAAAACTGCCTCAAGCTGTGCCAGGGGAAGTTTAGGTTGGATGTTAGGAAAAATTTCTTCACAGAAAGGGTTGTCAAGCACTGGAACAGGCTGCCCAGGGGCATGGTTGAATCACCATCCCTGGATGTGTTTAAAAGACATGTAGATATGTTGCTTGGGGACATGGTTTAGCAGTGGACTTGGTAGCGTTAGGTTAATGTCTGGACACAATTGTAAAGGTCTCTTCCAACCTAAATGACTCTATGATTCCATGATTAACAGGGTCTGAAGAAGCAGTTGGCCAGCTATCCCATTCAGGGTGCAATAACCTGAAGCTGCAGAACCATGTGTATCCACAGAACACTTTACAAAATTCCTGCTCACTGTAAAGCTGTGCTGCTGAATGCTCCAGTTACATACAGGGATAATTTTATTTATGTTTCCTGAAATTAAATTACTTAGATGCAAAACAGATGAAGTGAAATTAGCTCAGAAAGAAAGAAAAAAAAAAACAAACCCAAAAACCAAACAGTAGCTTTACAAACAAAACAGAAAATGCCTTCAATGCCTTTTAGTATTAGGGATTTCTTTCTTTTTCACAACTACAACTTAAGGATAGCTTTAAACTTCAGATTTCTAAAATCTCCTATCAATGAATTCTTCCTCCCTCCCTAGTTAATCATTTAATTTTCTGCACTGTCACCACTTACCTGTTATACCCATATGATACTGATAAAAAGCATCTGTAAGGCCATCAAGGATTATGGTGTCCTGCAAGGAAGCCTCTCCCATTTTCACCCCAGCTCGCATGTGAATGACGTGAGGAGCCTGCAAGAAGGTATTTTGAAAGGAGTTAGATGTTTTCTATCTCCAGTGCACAATAAACCCAGAGAGAGCAGAAGAGACAGACCCTGCCTGGCAGCAGCACGTAGCTCCCCCAGATCCCAGCAGTCTCCCCAGCTGCCTGCTCTGTCTTTCCCTCTGGAGTCTGCCAGCTGGCACAGTCTGTTTGGCCTGTGCATCTCCCCAGCAGCAGATCACAAAGCAGCAAGTGTTTTCTTTCCACAGATCAAACCAATCACCCCTGGGTCCACACAGCCATGGGTCCCCCATCTTACTAGTCTGCTCTAGGTGGTTCCCAATCACACTCTGCTGCCAGCCAAAGCCCACATCACTCTCAGCATGGGCAGCTAGCGACCCATGAAGAGGCCACCCTCTTCCTAGACATCAGATCACTGGCCCAGCACCATTCCTCAGCACAGCCTTGGGCTGCACACCTTGAAATAAAAGTGCTTCACTTCCTCTCCAAGCTCAAATTGCTTGGTGAACAATAACATTTCCAGTTATTCCTTCTTTGGGCTTCTTCCAATACAAAAAAACCTGTTTATTGCCAGCTGTCACAAGCAAATCATTCACCACAACAGGGCTAGATGGGAATTAAACCAGAATTTGAAATGTGGTGTGCATTTTCATAGCACTTTTTCAGTAGCTACAGTATCAGGTCTTTTTCTAAAACAAGGCAGAAGCCACTGAAGTCAACTGTTGCAGGTGTAAAGTCATTCTCAAGTGTAGAAACTAAAGCTATTCTTCCAACCTTCCTCTGGAGCACTAGCCTAGAAATACAGGGTTTCAACATAACTCAATGCTGTTTGCTCCCAGAAAGTCAGCAAGATGCAAGTGCAACCGTCTGCTTTACCTTGCTCATGCTTTCCATGCCTCCTGCCACCACGACGCTGGAGTCTCCTGTCAGGATGGACTGGGCAGCCAGACATACTGCCTTCAAGCCAGACCCACAGATCATCTGGCAGCTCCAGGCAGGCACAGAGTAAGGGATCCCTGCAGCAACGCTCGCCTGCCGGACAGGGTTCTGGCCAGCACCTGCAGGAAGAGGCAACATTTTTCCTTTGTTTGTTCTTAAAAATTATCGGCCTTTTTACTTCTCACAACAGGTAACCTGATTCCACCAAAATTTAGAGCTCACTCCTGTTTTCAGTTGGTAGATAGAGAAGTTCCCAGTAGTAATCTGTAAACAGGAGCTCAGTTACCGCTCTTATTTGTACTGTTGATCAATAAAATACCTGCAAGATCAGGGACTTGTCACTGACAGTTTCTTATCTGCAACTCTGCTTTTGATGGCTGGTCAGATGAAACATCAAGTTAGCACAAGCCTGTGGTACATGTGTGTAAGATGGGAGCTCATTTAAATTGCTACTTGCCGAAGGGCTTCTTTTTGACATCTTCTGTACCTTACCAGCAAGCAACTTTCCCTAAAAGTTCCTATGGAAACCAAAAGCAATTATGCAAGAACAGTCCAAAGCTTCCATTGTTTATTGTAACCCTGATGGAGAAAATAAGAGTGCTATATTCAAGGAAAACATTCTTCGTCTGTATCTCCCCGGGCCAAAGCTCTTTGTGTGCAAATGCTCTTTGTGTGCAAAGAAATAGACAAGGAGAGCACATCAATCAGCCAGCTAAAAATATACCAGAATCTGGATCAGCTCTAAGTAAGACAAAGTTACTTGTTGCCTTTATTTTCTTTTTCCATCTTTAAAATACAAACCTGCCCTATGATCTGCTGATTAAACATTACCCTGGAAAAAGCACGGGACAGTTCAAAATAAACAATTCCTTATCAACTGCATTTTTGTTAAATCAAAATATTTGTCTCCGGGGAAGTGGCATCACAGATCTCATGGGTCGATCTCGTGGGTAAAGGCAAATGCCGGCCTTGCTCTTAAAATCTCAGAGTCGCCACTACTTAAGATGCTGAATTTAAGAGAGGAGATGACCAGCTCAAGAGAAGGGATGCTGTAACAAAAAGAAGAAACTGACTTTCACACACACACTGTTCGCTACTTCAGGGATTTCAAAAAACCCAAACGGCCCCGCCGCACCCCCTCCGCCCCCATCCTTTCCAAAATCCCATCAATGGCGCGCACGTAGAAGCGGCCGAGGTGCCGCTCGAGTCCTTTCTCACGGAACCGCGTTCCAGTTTGAGGTTTAAGGCGAAACCAGAGCCGTGCCCGCGGCAG